TATGTCGCACCAACATTATCACAATATATCACCGGTGGTGCAGGTACTGGAATGTTGATTTCCTTCATGAGGGAGCAGAGCCATCGGAGTTCAGAGGCCGTGTTAGCTACAGAACGATACTCAGCCTCGGTAGAGGAGCGAGCGACGCCCGTTTGTTTCTTTGCCGACCATGAAATTGGTGTGGAGCCAATGTAGATGATGAAGGCGTTGGTGGAGATGTAATCATCAGGATCACCCGCCCAGTCCGCGTCTGAGTAGGCGTGCAAAGTTGGTGATGAATCTTTGCGTATCCAGATGCCATTCGTGGGTGTTCCAGCAAGGTAGCGGAGAACTCTCTTAGCTGCTTGCCAATGATCTTCAGTCGGTTTATGCATGAATTGCGATAGCTTGTTGACTGCGTACGCAATGTCGGGTCGAGTAAACGATAAGTATTGCAAGCTGCCAACCAGTTGCCTATAATCTGTTGGATTGAGAAGTGGCGTGCCAGTCGAGAGAGTGAGCTTGGGATGCGTGGCCATGGGTGTGGAAACAGTCTTGGCGTCTTGCATTTTTGTCTTCACCAAGAGATCAGTGATGTATTTATTTTGCATCAGATGAAGTCCAGCAGGTGTTCGTCTTGCCTCAATACCTAGAAAATACGAGATTTGTCCAAGATCTTTGAGCGAAAACCGTGATGCCAAAGTGTGGATGATCTTATCGACGAGCTCAAGACTGCTTCCTGTGACCACAATATCATCAACGTAGACCAGGATATGAACTATCTGATGATTATGACGGTATGTAAAAAGCGACGTGTCTGCTAGCGAATTCTTAAACCCAGCAGTAATTAGAGTACGCTTCAGTTCCTCATACCATGCTCTAGGAGCTTGTTTGAGACCATAAAGCGCTTTCCGCAGACGACAGACATGATGAGGCCTATCCTTGTCGATAAAGCCTGGTGGTTGTGAGACGTAGACTTCATCTTGCAAGGTTCCTTGAAGAAAAGCGTTATTAACATCCAGTTGACGAATTGTCCAATCATTTCTGACCGCATGCTGCAACACCAACCTCACCGTAGTTGACTTGATAACTGGACTGAACGTCTCCGCATAGTCAAGACCATAGAGCTGATTGAACCCACGAGCCACAAACCTGGACTTATACCTGTCTACATCACCATTAGGCAGATATTTAATAGTGTGAATCCATTTGGTGGGAATCACATTCTGATTAGGAGCAGGAGGGACCAAGTCATAAGTGTGATTACGGGTAATGGCATTGAACTCGTCAGACATGGAGTTCCGCCATTTTTGATCTCGCAAAGCTTGGTTCAGGGTTGTGGGAATGGAAGGTGTGGTCGTTATGGTTAAGGAATATTTGGTTTTAGGTTTTGTGATGTTATTTTTGGAACGGGTTTTCATGTTATGTTGGTTCTGAGGAGCAGCTGGTTGAGGTAATGGTTCGGTATTGTGTTGTTGGGGTGGGGGAGAGGATTGAGATGATGGAGGAGATGGGTTTGGTGGTAATGGTGTCGGGTTTAGGTTGGTATCTTGGGCATCGGTGGTTTCTGTTTCTGCAATTGAAGGTATAGAGAACGTACCTGGAATTCTTTCAGAGACAGTCTGGTCTCCATGAGATGAAACAGAGCTCGGGATAGACTGTCTCAGGTGGTCCGGTGAAGTAGAGGTCGTGACCGGAGGGCCATTCTGGTGACGGTCTGAGCATGGAGGCGCGTGAGAACGAGTCTGTCCAAGTGGTACCACAACGGCTGGGGGTTGATAGGATGACGTCTGGTTTGGTTCAGGAGAGGATTGCGAGGATGATGTTGAGGATGTTAGCTTGCTGAAGGGGTAGATATCTTCAATAAACTGAACATGTCGGGAGGAGTATATTCTGTTTGTCGCAGGGTCTAAACAAAGATATGAGCTTTGTGTCAATGAGTATCCCATAAACACACACGGAGATGAGCGATCTGAGAGCTTGTTTGTGGCATATGGTCTGAGCCAAGGGAAACATAGTGAGCCAAACACACGCAGCTTCAAGTAATTAGGTTGTTGTCGAAAGAGCTTTGCATACGGAGATACATTGTTAAGGACTGGTGACGGCATCCTATTAATAAGATATACTGCAGTGGCGAAGGCATACGGCCAATAAGCTTTTGGAACAGAGGCCTTTCCAAGGAGTGTTAAGCCCGTTTCAACAATATGACGATGTTTTCTCTCGGAGATGCCATTGTGTTCTGGTGTGTGCGGTGGCGAGGTGAGATGTGAGATACCATGATCAGCAAGGAAGGAGCGCAACCCTATATATTCTCCACCGTTGTCGGAATACAACGTGATAATCTTTGTTTGGAACCGGTTTTCTACGAGACTCTTGAAGGCGATGAAGGTTTCGCGGACCTGGGATTTTTGGGTTAAGGGATAGAACCAGGTGTATCTTGTGAAGTGATCCACAAAGATGAGATAATATTTGTAATTTTCTTTGGATAGGATTGGTGAGGTCCAGACGTCACTGTATAGGTATTGGAGAGGTTTGGTTGATCGAATTGTGTTTGTTTGGAATGGAAGTTTATGAGACTTGTTGGTTAGGCAATCGATGCAAGAAACAGGTTTTATTGAATCAGAAACTGGTAATGAAAATTGCGACACAAGAGTTTTTAAAATAGGTAAAGACGGGTGACCAAGTCTTGAGTGCCACGATGAGAATGATGATTTGGGAGTGGGTGAGGCAAGGAATGTGGAGGCGGAAAGGGATGGAAGTGGCCACTCGTAGAGCTCGTTCTTAGTTTTGCCTTGGAGCAATCGCGCCCCCGTGCTGAGATCCTTCACCTGAAAATGAGCCGGAAAGAATTCCACAGATACTCGATTAGTATTGCATAATCGATAAACAAAAATTAAGTTCTTATGGAGGTTGGGGACATATAAAACATCACGTAAAGGCATATAATGAGAGGGTGTGGGAAGTAAAGCTGAACCAGTGTGCGAGATCGAGAGGCCGGAACCATCTGCGATGGTGACTTTCTCGCCTCCTTGGTATGGCTGATGCATCGAGAGATTGTTGAGATCCGTCGTCAGGTGATGAGTTGCACCACTGTCTAGAATCCAGCTATTTGGATTGTAAGTAGACGAGGCTGCAAGGTGAGCACGTGGATGGTATTGACTAGAGCCGTAGCTGGACCCGGATGAGGAGCCATAGTGTTGCAACTGCGAGCATCTCTGTGCACTGTGACCGAACACACCACACAATTGACACTTCCCCTGGTATCCACGAGGTTGGCGATTCTCTGGGCGTGGTGTGAAGCTTTGTTGCTGCTGCCAGTTTGTGTTGCGGTTTTGGAACTTGTTAGAGCCGCCGTAGCGATTCTGGTTGTGATTCCTGTTGTTGTTTGGTTTATTACCATTGTAGTTCACGGCATTTGCAGAGACTGGAGTTGGAGACGGTGAGACTGCGGTCTGTAGCTTCACTTCATGGTTCAGGAGCCTTTCATGGATCTCTGTCAGAGTTGGTGGTGTGTCGCGACCTTCGATTTGATCAATGACAGGTTTGTAGTCCTCTGGGAGACCCTCGATGACATACTCTATTTGATCTTCATGGTCAAGCGGCTTTCCAAGTAAGGCAATCTGATCAAACCGAGTTGTCAGGCCAAGGATGTAGTCATCAATAGATTTGGTTTCTTTCTTCCAGTGCTTCAGTTGTTGTCGCAGTTGTTTGAAGTGAGCTCTGCTTGGTTTAGCGTATGTGGCTGATAGAGTGGACCAGATCTCGGCTGCAGACTGAGCCGTAGACAGAATAGGCTGTAGCGATGTTGTAATCGCACCAAGAAGAGCCGAGTAGATGAAGCAATCTTGTCGCTTCCATAGGGTGAACGCCGGATTCACAGAGAGAACACCATCGTTGGTGATAGTGGGCGGAGGTATGACAACAGATCCGTCGAGGTAGCTTGCGAGATCATAACCATCGAACAAAGCATGAACCTGACGACTCCACATGACATAGTTTGTGGAGGTCAATTTGGTTACGTTCGTCATATTAACGTTAACGATTGTGAGAGAGTCATGTGGAGAAACAGAGACATTAATGGTCTCACTGTGAGTGGTCGGAGAGACAGACATGGCTGTTGAGGAAGAAGGAGGGCAGTAAGAAGAAAGACGTGAAGAAGAAGGAGATGACGGCCACAGGATTTTTATGAGAAATTTTTAGGTTTTCTTAGCTCTGATACCATCTAAGGTAATTGGCTGAATAAGTTTTCTATATTGACAAAGCAAGGTATATATGTTACAGAGGATGTAGGGTATTCAAGTTCATGAATAAATACACAATCTACTTTCTATATCTACAATAACATATTACTGGTTTGGTACTGATTTGAGTGAATGATTTGCGTTGAAATAATTTATTCTATATTTAGGCCTGCGCAAGTATTACAGTTAGTCACAGTCTGATATTTCTTCTGGCTAATAATAGCTACTCTTTATGTAAAAACTCGCTCAAGTATGTTTATGTTTATGTTTATAGCCATCTTACGTTACGTTTTTGCTGCCCCTTGAGCTGAGTTTTGTTCAATCATTGTCTCTTTAGGATGAGTTCCACGTGGCTTATGTGGAATCGACAAAAGCAGTATCTGGTCGAGATATGCAAACCCTTAGCTGTGTTAGAGTGTAAAGATGGGTGATACTCACGCGTGCTTCAGTGTCGCACTTTTAAAGTAGTAATAAACAAGACTCGTACAAGGAATACCCACCATATACTTTAATACCTGAGTTGTTGATCTTCTTCCCCGTGCTTGTATTGCGTCACATCCCATATACTCTAGGGAATAATTAAGGTGAACAGTGACTGGATTTACACCACTCAAAGATCATTGAGATCACAAATCATGTCCTGTGACCTATATATATATATGTGTGTCTGTTGAGTTACTGCAAGCTGGCTCAGCAAATCATTCAAGTAGTTTTGGGTTTGTTTGTTAAGTTACTGTAAGCTGGCTCACGATCACGTCTTGTCTTTGACTATTTAGCTCCACATTTGTCAACTTATTACTACTGTAAACAGATGGAGTTCGATGATGAAGCTGAGCACAAAAGACTTTACAGAGTAGAGACAAATTCCCCACAAAGAAATGCAGCTTTCTCGTTGGAGCAAGGAGGATCACTTTCAGCCAAAGCAACACAGAACATCGTCATCCAGAGCTTCAAGATCGTGATTTTGTCGAGTAAACTCAATCTGTTGTTACCTTTCGGTCCTATAGCGATACTAGTCCACTACTTTACAGATAACAAGGTTAGCACGCATTTATAACCTTATCAATCATGTTAAGTTGTCTCAAGAAATGATCATTGACGCTGTGGATCAGGGATGGTTTTTCTTACTGAGCTTATTAGGAATCACACCATTGGCTGAACGTCTCGGATATGCTACAGAGTAAGTAGTTGCTCGCTCGCTCGCACTTGTACATAAAACCCTTAAGTTACCATATATTATCAACATATAACCGTCAACTTTTTCTAACAGGCAATTGGCTTGTTACACAGGTCCAACTGGTATGAATATATATATATGACTTTTTTTCTTGCCTTCCTTTGACTCTTTCTATTGTTTTCTGACGCGCTAGACATTTTTCACACTAGTTGGAGGCCTCCTAAACGCTACATTTGGAAACGTGACAGAGCTGATTATATCCATTATCGCTCTTAAAAATGGAATGATACGCGTTGTACAGCTGACGCTGCTCGGCTCCATTCTGTCTAATATGTTGCTCGTACTTGGCTGCGCCTTGTTCTGCGGCGGCATTGTATTTTCTCGGAAGCAGCAAGTCTTTGACAAGGTATTACATCTACTTGACATTCTCTCTAGCTCTCTATTTTTTCTATGTTGTTTCTGAGCATGTTTCCTCTGCAATTTAATGCAGGAGAATGCGGTTTTGAATTCGGGAATGCTTTTGATGGCAGTGATGGGTCTACTCTTCCCCACACTTCTTCATTTCACCCACAGTGAGGTTCATGCTGGTTCATCAGAGCTGGCTCTTTCAAGATCAACCAGTTGCATAATGCTCATTGCCTATGCTGCTTATCTCTTTTTCCAGTTGAAAATCCAGCCAAGTTTTCTTACCGAGGTTCTTAGTTTGTCTTCTACCGTTTCTGTTAACTTACAAAATACAAACTTGTTTCTTACAAGTTACAACCACTTTTTACCATTTGGTTGCTCTCTCTTCCCTCTGCTTAGACTCGGTATCTGCTGTTTGGTAAACTTTGATCAATGAACTAGGGCGAAGAAACTTCGGATGATGATGAAGTTCCTGAGATATCCAAGTGGGAAGCTATCATCTGGCTTTTAATCTTTACAGCTTGGGTCTCTCTTCTTTCCGGTTATCTTGTCGATGCCATAGAGGTAAATACTTATCTATATGTTTTTTTCTCTGCTTCCTTATCCATAAAAAGATTCTGCTTTTTCTGTTTTTGAATATGTGACAGGGGGCTTCAGTCTCATGGAAGATACCAATGTCATTTATCAGTGTCATCTTGCTTCCTATAGTTGGGAATGCAGCCGAGCATGCAGGTGCTATTATGTTTGCCATGAAAGACAAGCTGGTAAGCAGAGACAAGTCTCTTGCATGCATTCTCATGTCTTTTAGGTTCTAATTTGATTATTTCTCTCCACTACAGGATTTGTCCTTGGGAGTGGCTATTGGATCTTCAATTCAGATTTCTATGTTTGCGGTACCTATTATGTCTGTCTAATGCATGAACATTATTATGTGACAACATAACTGATAATATAAAGTTTCCTCTTTTGCACGGATTGGATTTTAGGTTCCTTTCTGTGTGGTCATTAGTTGGGTGATGGGTGAACAAATGGATCTGAACTTCCAGCTATTTGAGACAGCTACACTCTTCATAACTGTTATAGTTGTAGCTTTCTTTCTCCAGGTGCGTTTAACAATCAGTCTTGAAGCTATAAAATATGAAACCAATCCTGAACAGTTGGTCTCATGTAGTTGTCAAAACGTCTGTGTGTATGTTTGTTGTTATGTAGGAAGGGACATCTAATTACTTCAAAGGATTGATGCTCATTCTCAGTTATTTGATAGTCGCGGCTAGTTTCTTTGTACACCAAGATCCTGATCAAGGTTAATGTTGGTTTTGCTATTTCTTCCATCTTGTTAATGTTTAACAACAAAACCATGTTTCATACGTCTCTGATGGTTTCTGTGTTGTTGTTTCTTGACAAATGATATATAGCACAATCTGGTGTGTGTGTGAAGTAGTTTGTGTCCTAAAACTTAAAAAGCCTAATAATATCGCCAACCCATGATCTTACATGTATAAATTAAGATTCTGGAGTTTGTATCAGGGAAACTGAAAGTTGTTCCGTTTTTTTTAACCTACGTTTTTGCTCTCTTGGTTTGTACTTTCGTTGGGGGTTGGGGTATGTAAACAGTGGTCACCACTAAACTCGTTCTTGTTTTTTTTTTTGTTAACTAAGGTGGTGTTATTCAATCATGTATTTTAATAGAATTGAAATTTAAATACAATCCATTGTTATTCAAACGATGATTCTAAATTTTGTTTTAAAATCTAGTGTTATTCAATGAGTGACTTAAATTTAGTTTTTAAAATCTAGTGTTATTCAACTTTTAAAGATTTTAAAATTCCTTGTATTTTGAATTGATTTCAAATCATTTTCTATGGATTCTCATGAACAAATAAGTGAATTCAAAATCCAAGACATACTGCAGAGATTTTAAAATCTATCAACCTAAACTTTCTCAAAATCTGAAATTTTGAGGGATTACAAATCATTAATAATTGATTTAAAAACACTCATTAAATAACACCTCCTAAGGTTTTGTTGGCCGAGGCTATTGCACATGTAGTACTAAAGTAGTGACATAGAAATGTCAAAACATAACATACCAAAAACTAGTTTTGGTTGTGTGTACAATCTTATCTATCTTATTAAAGTTGTAGTACTCTTTAGGTTTGTTTGGAAACTTAAATAGTAGTAATAAAGAGTTTAATGTTGTTTGGCTATAAGTTTAATAGAGTTGGGCTTTTAAACATTGTTATAATAGAATTGGGCTTTTGTTTAATTTATTTTATGTTATGATTGGTTTTAATCATTTGGCCCATTGTAGTAATTTGTGTTTTTAGTTTATATTTTATATAAAGACCATATTCAATTTTATTTATTGTTGACTAAATTAAAAATAACATCAGTTTTTAAGATAATAACAATTTACATTTCAAATAATTTAATACTCATATATATATTATCTAAAGTATTTTACATTATTCAAATTATCATAAAGACACAAAATATTTGAATAGTTTTAACTAAAATATTAAAATTTTGTTTTCGTAACTGGATATTTATCCGAAACACCTATTCCCCCCCCCCAAAATCAGTTTTACCCCGATTAATCTAAAATTAATCCTAGAAATCGTAATCAAACCGTTATCATATTGGAACCAAAAATTTATCTGATATTAGTCGGTTATTATAATTATTACCAAACTCAGCTCAAACCAAAAGAATCGAACCGGACGCAAATCAATTTATATAGATAACAGAACAGATCTTATATCTGTAGAATTAAAAAAACTACGAACATAAAGAATCCAACAAAAGTTGAACCCAAAATCAAACNGGAACCAAAAATTTATCTGATATTAGTCGGTTATTATAATTATTACCAAACTCAGCTCAAACCAAAAGAATCGAACCGGACGCAAATCAATTTATATAGATAACAGAACAGATCTTATATCTGTAGAATTAAAAAAACTACGAACATAAAGAATCCAACAAAAGTTGAACCCAAAATCAAACCCCAGTCCTATTACATTTAATACGATCATAGTTTTTGAAATACGGTAATAACCGATGACTTATGAATATATTATATTTTTCCAAATTAAGTTAAACCCGCGCCGGTGCGTGGGTCAAGATCTAGTATACTATTAAAGCTGAAGTACAAAAAGTTAAGTGTTTGGAAACAGGAATAGGAAATATTTAAAATTATGATGATTGGAAACAAGGATAGCCTACAAATCTAGTGGGCTTATTTATTAAACTAAAGATTACTTGCGGCCCAAGATAATATTATTATTGTTTTTGGGTTTTCTATCATTGATATTACTTTACTTTTGAAAATTATTTATACATATATGTATTCATGTTTTAAATGTATTTAGAATAAATCAAGAATAGATATATTTTATTTATATATTTTATATTGACTATTGTTATAAGTTTTTAACACTGATATACTAGCCTTCCAATTCTTCATTAAAAAATTAATTTAAAAATTTGACTAAATTACTTAGTGTATATAACTTTGCACCAAATTTAGCCAAATAAAACTTTATAAACTATTAATAAAATGTTTACGGATCACAACTTTTTACGATGCCCATGTTACACAATACAATGATAAAATACAATGTTTAAACAGTAGACTATTACTTAGTAAAATTGGAACCATTAAATTGTAATTTTGAAATGTTATATATACCATAAAAACAAAGACCCGCCCAGTCGGGCGGGTTATGATCTAGTTGTTTTTAAAAAGGAGGGAGAGAAAAAGAAATTCACGTGGTTTTCATCGAAACAAAACGACGAGAAGTTACACTCGCCAATGGCAAAAACGAGCTCTGTGACAATGCGCTGTAGTATGTCGATCATTTTCCATACCTCCAAAAATATACGGATCTGGGGCCCTTGAGGGAAATAAGCCATAGGCAGAAAGAACTAAAACCACACGTCGTTTTTGAGACTTGTCCTTTAATAAAATCTTTGGTTTTTCTAACTGTAGAAAAATGTAACCAAAGAAACTATAGTAGTACCATTCAGTTACTTAACCAAAAGTTAAAACAGTGAATCTACATTCGTTTTTCACATTATGGGGACCCTGTGTTTGAACCCATAAGCCTTTCAAAACAGTAGGGCACAATCACTTGTCTGGAGAATAGCCTTCTTAACAGTTACTACCCAAACATACCAAACTCTCTGCTTTACCACCGACTGATTTAAAATTTTAAACATTTGTTTTAGATACAGTTTCACTTGCTAATCCATGTCCCCATAGATATACATATACTTATTTCGGTCAATAAGCCTTTAGTAACAAATATACACATGTATGTTTTTAAGTGGTGTACTGAGTTTTATACTTTATTGAATAACCGAAAGTCTGAATGCTTATCGATTGTAGCAAACAACTCACGGGTAGAACATAACGGTTCAATATTATCAAAAGGTAGAAGAAAGCAAAGAGTTGACTCCATGGATTAAAGAGACTGTGTCAGGTTTGTTCTCAAAGCCATATCACTATCCCAAACGTAGAAGTTGTTGATTAATTCGTTCACAAATTTGATGTAATGTTGTTCTATATTATTTTTGTAAAATTTTTTTTATTTTAAATACAGCACTTTTCCAAAGAAAAATTATAATAAAATATAACAAAAAGAATTGTATCGTCTTAAATTGACTCTCTTATGAAAAGTTTTAAACATTTTAATGTTTTAAGTTTTAAAAGATGGTGATAGTTTTGAAAATGAACATAAATAAAGGTAGTTTTTTTTTACAAATAAGTGGTGTTGTAAAGTTTTTGATATTAGAGAGTCTGCACTCTTTCTTTATACTATCAAAGAGGACCGGCGCATTTGACCTCAAAGTATATGTTTGGAAATCGAGAAAACATAGAAAAAGACGATTGCTTGTGAATCAGGAAAAACAAACTGATCTCACAAGTCTTTGAGAAAATAAATTCTTCCCCCTTGTTATTTTCTTCTGACAAACTGGTATGTATATATATGGTTAAAAACGTATTTTATTTGCATTTGTACGTTCCCTCGCTAATTCATAACCATAAGTTATAGTAAAACAACATTTCACTTGTTGTTTATAGTTTGTATTTCTCTACTCCCAGAATCTTAATATATACGTGTATATATATAATTCGTATTTCGAATATCTTTGTAATTTTTTTCTTCTTCAGATTTCTAATGTGTTTAAGTAATCGATCCAGTGACTTCCAATAACTTTCAATGGCAAACTAAACTAAACATCTGACCAAACTTTTCATGAAAACGTGTAACTATGTTAACGTATATGAATATCTATGTTTGTATAAAATTGACGATGTATACTATAAATGTCTTTATTAAATTTTTATCCGCACTTTAAAAGCACAGAATAGTATACGTTGTATTTTTTTTTTTTTGACATCAGTATACATTGTAAGAATCTAATAAATCATCAAATGTTTTGGTAACAATGATAAAATGATAGTTCATCTTATTTAAATTCTTTATTTTTGGTCAAATTTAAATTCATCTTTAATAGTATAAAGTCGTGCACAAAAAAATAGTATAGATTATTAATTTTTTAAAAATTAAACAAAAGTATGATTGTAATATGTGTAGTATTTTAAAAGAAAGAGTATGAAATGTAAGTACAAAGTGGAATTGGGTAACGAAAACGACTAATAACTGCAGAATTTTTGGGACTTTGGAATGATAGATATTATTATTGTTGTCACTCTGTGGAGAAAGTGACATTTCCTTGGTTATTTATATTAATAAGAATTCTGTAATTGAATCAAAAAGACTTTTATTCAGCACTGCCCTGCAAAACGGAGATTGCGCCATCTTCTTTGTCGCAATGTCAAGCTGCTCTCCATTCTTGGATTCTCTCTGTCACATCCAAATCTTTTTTTTCTCTTTCCTCATGCATACCCCAATTTGTTTTTAAAAACTTACTCTCATATCTTAAACTTTTTTTTGGCTAAACCTTTGATCATATCTGAAGTTCACAAGAGTGGATTTATAAATAGTCTTTTTTTTTTCAATAGTCTATTATATGATTGTGCACAAAAAGTCTATTTTATGACCTGTACTAAAAAAACTTATGACCAACACATACTTTTAGATGTTTTTATGCTTAGCAGTAGATTATATAGTCAATGGATTGGTTTATATAATGAAAACATGTCGGTTTTAAATCATGTATTTAATAGTTTACTAGTTTTGCACTGATTTAAAATAAAATATATTTTACATAAATTTCCGTAGAAAAAGTTACTCAAAATGGATAAGCTCTTATTATTTTATCTTTAACTAATACAAAAACAGATATTTAATATTAATTTTCTCTCACAGAGTTTATTTAAGAATTTAAAATACATATTAGTAGTAATCTAGATGTAAAAAAATATTAAATTTTGATCCACACTTTAGCACATGATATTTTATGATGAAAAAGTTTAATAATAATTAACAAATATTTTGCTAATTTGAAAGAATTTGTGTATTTAAAATGTTTTTACTTTTAAATCATTGTTTTAAAATTTGACCCAAATCCGCTGGTTAACTGATTAGTCCAGTAATCCAATAATTCGGTTTAGAAAATTACTAAAACTCAAGAATAACCACTTAAATCGATGGATAACCATTGTATAAAATTTAAACATGTAAAAATGAATTCTATTTATTTTTCGTTTTTTATAAATTATATGATTTTGAAAATTATTTAATTTATCTAAATAACTTGAAAAAAAATTGTTAGACATTATTAAAAAGAGAAAATCTAATATGTTGTATTGTTTGGAAACATGAATAATATTATAAAAAAATAAATATTAGTGATTTGATGTAGGTTTAACTATAAAGTACAAAATATATTTAATTTTAAATTTACAAAATAAGGATAGATCTAACATAATATTTCTGATTTAATAAGATAGATTTCTTATAAGAATTCATAAAATATAAACAATATCATATTTAGGAGAAGCAAATAAAAATGCTTTTAAATATATACATAAATTTAAGTTTAAATTAAGAAAAAAATTATATTCCTTTCAAAAAAAGTCTTAAAACAATTAGTAGCCATTTATGTTTAAGTTAAAACAAAAACTTAGCAAAGGATGTTTTACGAT